CCCCACCCCACCCTATATACACACCATAATCATATAAGATCCGAACATAAAACCATCCATCCAAGATTTCAGCCATTATGATCAGATTGACATCTGTTTCACCAATAATGATTATAAGCAGCAGCAGATATGGGTGCAAAAGGGAAGGTAGAATAAGCAGGAGGATGAACAGCAGGAAGAGTTGGGGCAGATGCTGCCGGAACAGGAGCCGGTCGACTTATCTTTTCGCTTAAACCGATGAATTCTTGGGATTCTTTTGCTCCGATTTCTTTAAACGCGCTTATTAGAACCTTAACGTATGAGGCCACATTGTTCTTGAACTCGGTCGAGCAGCTTTTGCCACCCTCGTCTACATCTTGTACGCCTCCTTTCACAAGACACCCGACCTGCACACCTTCCGTATACGCTTTGCACGCCATCAGGATATCGCGTACACGATTACGGAAATGCCCAATCACCAAATCCTCGAAGTTCTGCAAATATCGTATCGTTAAGCATACCAACTCTAATACTGTGTTCTCGAAACCTTTTTTTTAGGAAGGACAGGGAAGGGAGGAAAAGTAAAAAAAAATCGTGTTCTCGAGACTTTTTAGGACAGAAAGGAAAGTCATCCCTAAACTTTACTTCCAATTGTGGAGGAAAGGGAAGAAAAGAAAAGAAATTAAAAAGATTACTAAAATTACAAAACCACCCCCAACCAGGATATATTTTAAAGGGTAAAAATAACCTCTTTTCTTTCCTTTCCCTCGTGTTCACGAACATGAAAAAGTTGTTTCTTTCTTTCCCTTCTCTTCCCTCTCGAGAGCACAAACAAAAAAATATTTTTCTTTTCCCTCCCTTCCTTCTCTAGTGAGCCTAAGGGTGCATTTAGCACGTGGGCATAATTGGATTCAACATGTGTAACATCCCCGGCAAACTGTACCATAACCGCTTTACCCACACCTGAACTCACGATTTTCAAAAGCATATGAAAGAGAAGTTATCTAGTCCCTTAAAAGGCGATATTTGTTCCCCTCCCCAACCGATGTTGTCTTATAAAGGACTGGATACCTCATCTATCAGAAGCATTTTGAAATTGTGAGTACAGGGTGAATAAAGCGAGTGTCTTAGAAGGAAACGGATACCTAATCTATCAGACGCGTTTTACAATTATGAGTCTAGGTGTAGATAAAGCGGACAATATCTGATACGGTTGGCTAGGGATGTTACGACAGAAGTGGCAAGAGTGAGGTAGGCAGTTGAAAGAGTTATGTGGAGTCTTAATTTTACATGAGTAGTTTAGTAATTTACATATCTTGTCCTATCTCCATATTTTTGTTCCATCTATTATGACGGGACAAATGTCATGTCCATGTCCTGCCAAACGTGGAACAACAAGTTTTTGTTCTCTCATGTCCTATGTATCAATCGCACCCTAGCGAAGAGCAAAATTTACCTTGGGTGGTTTTTTCATAGTATACACCATCGTTTTAAGCGATAAGATGAGGGTTTTCTCGTTATAGTCAATAGAACGTTTTTCGCCATACGCAGAGCCATTCGTATTTGCAAATCCAGGTTCGTTGAAGTACGGATTTGTGTTCAAGATCAGACCCTGTATCGAAACAAGAACTTGGAGCATAGTTGAAGTACCGGGTATCCACCTCTCCTTCGGGCCACCAGTCCACGTGTTTATAAGACTCAAACAAACTTTCCCACAATTGTATAGATTCGGATTGATACGAAGCCCGCCAGAGTGATAATGCACAAGCTGAAAAAAAAGCGATTGAATACTTGGATCTATCTCATGAAGTTAACAGTAAATATGCATCAAGAATTTAAAATCGATTGGATTAAGAAGGGGGAAGACGTACCGGTGGGACACTAGGATAGCTGCTCGGAAAAAAGATATCGAAGAAGAAGAGACCATCGTGATATGGAGTTCCCTCAGCTCCGATAATTACAGCTCTTAAAAGATCCATTCTTGATTCATAAACCCTAACAAATATTGTGTCTACACCCACATATAGAACTAATATCAATTTCAATTTCTTTATCAATGAACAGGTACTGAAAAAGTCGGGAGGAAAATATAAGAAATGTCCCAAGTATTTACTCCGCAAATTGTGTTTACATATAAGCTTTTCAATATTATACTCACTGACAATATACATAATTTGATGAAATTTATATAGCGTATATTTATCAATGAATACACACTATAAAATTAGTTCTATGGGTCTCAAATTATTTGTAGTTATATATAAGGGTTCAAACGAGAACGCCTTTATTTTACGGCAATACGAGAACAACTTTTTACTATAGTCCACATGTGATACTAAATCAGGGGTTATCAGTTATCACATGTGATAAGGGTGTTCGCTTTTTCATAAAACGGTGTTCTCGTTTGAACCTCCATCTATCTATCTATATAGGGTCAAGTTTAGGGGAAAACCCCAAAAATATGAAAAACTGATAAACACCTTTGTAACCAATCATCTGTACGGTATATATATGTTCATACAAGTAATTTGTCCAGTATGCACACGTGCATAGAAACCAAGAAACAACTTCAATTACTTGTATGCACATGTGTATAATGTAATGTCCAAATGAACGGTTACCAAGGTATCCCTCAATTTTTCATCTTTTTGAGGTTTTCCTCTAAACCTCCCTCTTGTGCTCTCTCTCTCTCTCTCTCTCTCTCTCTATATATATATATATATATATAAAAGATCCGGAGAGAACCCTCAAAATAAAAATAACCCAAAAACCCACTGAAACCGTTAGACTGAGGTAACCCAACGGATGTGGGTAAAAAGAACTTCAAAAAATAATCAAAAATGGGCAAATTCCAACAAAAATCAAAGAGGGAAACAAAATTTTTAATCTATGCATTGCTAATTCTAATGAATTAATAAAGGGATCAATTTGAAAGACATACCAGGCAAATCTTTCTCAAGAATCCTCCACTCATCTTGTATCTTTTTAGCCCAATTTTTTGGAGGCTGAAAGATATCACATATATATGTATAAAAGTGAAAAAATAACGATGAAAAACAACAACATATAAGCGAGTCAACATAAATCACACTCACCTGCTTCACTGCTGATCGCTGTTTCGAAAAAAAATGATCCGAATGGTCCAACACGGTATCAAACTTCTTGAAGCTTTCATACCTCTTCAGGACATCTTCATTATCACGCTTTGCCATGCTAGAGGAACTCCCAACTAAACTTGAACTTCTCGGGCTATTTACAGCATCCGGGCCCACTAACATATTTTCCATATGATATATACTATCAGTAGATTCAGGTAAAATAACACCACCTGAAAGAGCATCATTCAGCTCCATATGCGTCTTCATCATCGACTTATGCCATTCAGATATTGGTGTTTCTACTCCTAGAGGAGGCAAGAGGGAGAAACTCGAAGAAGTGGTACTACCCACTATAGGATTAGAAATATTAGAAAAATAAGAACCGGTACTAGCCGCGTTCATATCGCCTAATTGGTCGTATGTATAATTCGGGAAGTTTAGGTGCTGAATTTTGTGTGGGATCTCAATAGGAGGAACATTCTTGGAGAAACCGCTCCGACCAGCTGAATTCTTTTTCTTACTTCTAGAAAGCCTGGCAGATGACCCAAATTGATCAAACGGTGTATGTGAAGTTACCAACGGATTTGCAAATGCCATCTTGTTCATTTTGACTGTATCCGGCAACCAGGGAATAGGAACTTCGATACCAGAAGGGAGATCCATGTTATCAAAATGAGATTGCAAAGTCAAATAATCATCCTCGAAAACATAATCATCAGCGTACACATCAGACCCCACACCATCCAAATCAAAGAAGTTATCTGATCCTAGGGCAAAGCCCTTCGAAGAATGGCCCTGATCCACTGAGTTTAGTTGTGACACACTACTCGCATTCAGTGACATGATTGCAACGACATCCTACACCAGAGAAGAACAATATAAGTATATATAGAGAGAGGGGGGATTGAGGGGAAAACCCCCAAAAAATGAAAAATTGAGGAACACCCAAACTACTGTTCATCTGAACACTACACACATGTGCATACAAGTAATTGAAGATGTTTTCTGGTTTCTATGGTCGTGTGCATGTTATGCACATTTGTTAACTGGAAAAATTACTTGCAATTTACTCGTATGCACATGTGCATATCTTATAGATGAATGGTTACTAGGGTGTTCCTCGGTTTTTCATTTTTTGCGGTTTTCCCATGAACCTGACTCTAAATATGTATATGTATATTATATATATATATATATATATATATATAAGATTAATAGCAATAACTCACCAGAAATCAACATAAGAAGCATATTAATTTCAGTCATGATAAAGGTGGAAAAGCTTATATACCTTCCCTTTATTTGACTTGGCCTTCTTCATCGAGTGAACCATGTCCGTTGCATCTGATTGTGTTGCACTACTAGAACCCAATGAGATGGCCTTCATCTTTTTGTTCGACTCAACCTTCCCTTCAACAAAGACTACATCATTGCGGTCTTCATCCATGTCAACATCAATGATTTCATGATAGACAATCTGACAAATTGAGTGATTAAATAAGCACAGAATTTTCCAGAAAACATATTCTAGCAGATAGAGGAATCAATACAAGCACCGATATAACTCATGAAAAGAAAAGGCGAGCTAACATACAGGATCAATCATTCACCAATCAATGAATTTGATACTTATTTAAAAGAATGATTACACCAACAGAGTTCATAAAATATAGAAGCTTCTATGGCTCAATTTTGCTTTTCATTTCCCATTTATATTTTTATGTTTGCCATTTTTCTCTTCACGCACCCAAGTCACCGTTTTGGTTTTTAATCAAAACTTCAGTTAGTAAAGAATTAGAAACAATACAACGTTTTATCCCAATCTAATGGCATAACCAAGAACAAACCTTGGAGAACTTGTGAAGCAGAGAAACTTGGATACGACAATAGGGTATAAGAAAATTATTTCACCTCCCAAAGGAAACCCAAAATTTCTAGTTAAAAACTGTTGACAGAAAAAGACTCCTGAAAATCAAGAAAGTCATTTCTAAGGAAGCTGATGGATGGTGGTCTCGACTACCTCAATAAAAACTACAATAAAGATGAATATCTTACATGGAATGGTACCCAAACAAAAACCCTTAAACCAAACAATGGTTTTGGATCATCAAACACATTTCCAGTGTAATAAACGCCACGTGAGTGTTTACATGAACACAGAAAGAAAATATTGTAAAGTGGCCAAACAAATGCATCCAGTATACAATTTTAACGTTTCTCAAGAGCAAAGCCCTCGTTCTGCAGTATAGCAAGTGATTGCAGGCATATGGAACGAATGCACATAATCTAAACCAGACTATGAAGAATTAGATCCGTAGTTAATCACATATCTATTTCTCTTTCTTGACATTTGAACTTAAACCATCTAACTATATTTCATAATCACCACCATCAATCTCCCTACAACTCCTCCACAGCTTTTTCTTTGTCAAACTTCGCTACCCTCCTTTGTTTTCTTAAAAAAGGCAAATTTCCCATTTTCCTGAAGTGTAAGAGATGATATCATCCAACTCTACATGTTGTATGTATGTTATAGATGTAAAATTGCTTGTAATTGCTCATGCATTTCATACCAAAAGAAATTAATGACACAAGTACTCTGTCAATAGCATGCTTATATATGAAAGAAAGAAACCAAGTACAAGCAATAAATTAAGAAAAGGTACAACTCATCACACGAAATTAACAATGATTGATCGACAAATTATGACTTTAGTACTACTACGGACAAAAATACTAACTTCTCATTAAATCAATTAAAATTTTACAACATGAAGTGACAGTGAAGATGGAAAAAATGCCAATGACATACATAAAATGAAAGCATAACTCCAGAAAAATAAAAAACCACATAACAATCTAATACGCAGAAAGAAGAAAACAACTCACGATTTTTTGAATAGCTAATATAATATTTAACAAATAGACACAAATCTCTTTTCTTGTTAATTCAAAATACCTCCCCAGCTAGTAGCAAAAGAATACTTGGTCGAACAAGTGTTGTTAAAAAAAATATTTCCTTTCCTTTCTCTACTAAGGAAAATAATGATAAGCTTCCTCCCAAATGCGGGAGAAAAGGGAAGGAAATGAAAGAAAATAAAACCCTTTAAAAAATTATTAGAAATTAAAAATCCCCTTGTGGCCACGGAGGTTCAAATGCGGTGACTCCGGGCTATCTGCAAAGCAGATGGTCGTACTGGGATTAGTCGGCTCGCATAGCGGGTTGGATATCCAGGTTAATAAAAAAAAAACTATACCATCTTGCATTCTAAAGGATATATTTTTAAAGGGTATATTAGTATAAATAGCATCTTCGAATTTGAAAAATTATTTTCTTTCTTTCGTTTCCTTCTTTTTCCTTCCGGAAACATAAACAAAAAAAATCCTTTCTTTTCCTTCAATTTCTTTTCTTTTCCTTTATCCCAAAATTCGAGAACACAAGTTAGGGTTACATATCAAGAAACAAAGCAAAAAAATGTGCACAGAAACAAAACCAGCATCCAGATTGCAGTCCTAAAAACATCCCAAATTATAAAAACGATTATATAAAGCTACTATCATAAAATCAATCCACGAAAATGGTCAATTTCCCTAGCATAGAAGCCCTAGACTTCATCGAAAGAATCAAACAGCAAATAGCACCATCAACATACTAACGACCTTAGTCACTTCCAATCAATTGCATTAACAATCAACCCACTTGATATAAATCAAAAAAACCAGCATTAGTTATCCGATTTATGTACCTCCTTTGATTCAATCGCCTTAGCCTTCGATTTCGATGTCCGATTATGCGTTGGAGGAGCAATCTCGATCACTTCAGGTTCCATACACGCTGAACTACTCCCTGGAAACACTCTTTTCCTAAAAATCAAAATCCAAACACGTAAATACACAGATATAGCGATATACCCATAACTCAACGATAGGAAGTTTTACTTGGATTTCTGAGGGATATATCTTGTAATCGCCGAAGACTCCATTCTCGGAACTGCCAACAGTGAATATAGGCAACAGAAATAAATGGGAGATGATCAAAACCCTCTTTTCTAGGGTTTCCGCACTCCGATCACTATAAAATACCGCTTAATTTGGGGATAAAAATAGAACAAAAAAAAACCCTTCGATTTCTCGTCCTCAATGGCGAAATTGACCCTTTGTGGTCCGATTACTCGTCGAATTGAGGGTTTGAGAGCTCCGTGGGTTTACTCAGAAGATCTTGGTCGTAGATTGCGGTGCGTTCTTAAGTACCTTCACCATGACTGCCTTCTATGATAGCTACGGTAGAGAGTGTCACGTACGATCAAATCGCGGAAGATTTTTGGCCGTTAGATTAAGTTTTATTTGTTGTGAGCTACGTGGACAGTCACGATGAGGAGGTCGTGGGACTGGAAAAATGCATGCATTTTGCCACGTAGGACAGCCGGATCCGTTTAATCTCGTGTTTAATTGCCGCACGGTGGTAAACACGTGAGCTTTTTATAAAATCTTTATATCATTTTTTGGGAAAAATTTCAAAAAAACTCGGTCATATTATAAGAAAAAATAAATAATTACAAGATATTTCAGTTTTAAGAGGTTGTTTGTTTATCTCTTAATAGTTATATTAAGAAACAATTTTTGAATTGTTAAAAAGTGAATCTTATTTGGCAAAAAAAAAAAATTTGTCCCTTAATGATTCTAAAACCATCTGAATTATTTTGTATCTTTAACCTCTCTTAACCATTAAGCATCCTAATTTCATTATAAACAATTAGCAAACAATTATATTTCATTTTACACTATATCATGAGAGTCTCTTAATCATTCTAACCACCTAATCATTTTGCATCAAACCATTCAACAACTGTTAAACAGTCTCTTAATCTGATCCAAATGCATTAAAAAGCAAACGGAATAGTAAAGCTTACTCTATAGCACAGTGTATCATATTCTTGATGGCATAGCATGACATTGCAGTAGCGACACGTATGACATTGTGCTGATAACATATTACTGAAAAAAAACTAAATAGAACAACAATAGAATATACAGAGAGAATGTATAATTTTCATTGATCATAAGTCTTTTTTATATGAATGAACCACAAGTAGATAACTACGAGATATTTCAGTTATAATCTAACTTTAATATATCTTTATCTATCTATATCTCTATAGTCATATCATTTAGACGATCTATCCTACAACAAATCAACTGTTACAGATATAATTTTAACCCAAAAAAATTACATGATACCTGCTAGAAAGGTTTTAAACTAAGAAAACCTAAATCAGCTTTACCATTTCAAACCCCTCGTCGCTTTATCTTCATCTGCTCTCTATCATCACCCAACAGAGCTGTTGGCCCATATCATTCATTGATTTCCCTCTTGTTTCCCTTTTTCCTTTTTCGATTCTTCAATTTTTTTCGTATGTCTATACGCGATCCATTAATTTGTTGTAAAATAGTAAGTACAATTTAACATTCATATTTGAATTCTGTAACTAATTGTAGATAAATATAATCAAATACAAGATAAAATTATCATTTAGAATATATCTAAGATACAATTAGGATAATTATTGAGTTTTAACAGGATATTTAATTATTATCTTTATAATAATTATATTATTAACCAAAATAAATTATTTCGTCATTAAACGTAAATTAAATTATAATAAAAAAATGATAACTGTTATGTATTTTTTAATTTTTATGGTATTTTCAAATTTATACTTAAAAAAACATTATTGTTTGTTCAAAACCACATAAATTCATATTGTAATATCGATAAAGACCAAAAAATAAAACGAAACATTAAAATCGAAATATATCTCGTTACATTATACGAGTACCTTTCTACTATTATAAAAAGTTATAAAAGCATTAGTTTTTGTAATACGTAATTTCTTAATTTTTAAATTTATGAATATTTTTTAACCATTATATTTTTTAAATTCACGTACTTTAAAAAGTTTGCTGAAAGATGCCATTTTATGAATATTTTATTGAATATTATCATTTTATAAAAAAGTTGTTGAAAGTTACGATTTTATATATTTACAAAAGGTAAATTACATGAAAAAATAATGAAATTTAATTTGATTTATATTTTGGGTAATTTATTTTCAAAACTTTCATTTTGGTATCTAAGATGTAAAATTTTAAACATTTAAGTATTCGGATAACCGGTTGAAAACAAATTTAGATTAAAAAAAGGATTGATTTTAAATTTTATAAAATTCATATCTCTAACTACATCAGCAAATAATATTGAGTTGGATATCACATCATTCGCCACATCAACATGATAATCAGTTAATGTTTCAATCGATTAACCGAGTACTTAAATGTTTTAAACTTTACAGCTTAAGTACCAAAATAAAAGTTTTAAAAGTTAGTTACCTAAAATATAAATCAAATTAAAATACATTACATTTTCAGCAATTTGACCTTTATAAAAATTTGTTAAAAGTTACGATTTTATATAAAACTTATTAGAACTTATGATATAAATAAATGATGTTGGAAATTATTATTTTATATTAAATTTGTTTAGAAATTATTAAAATTTTATGAAAAGTTTGTTGAAAACCACATTTTATATAAAATTTGTTTGAAGGTTTGTTAAGTATTAAATGTATTGAATATTTAATTGTGTATATATGTGATACCGCAAAATTTTAGTTTTTATCGTAAACCAAATATTGAAAAAGTAATTAAATTTTTTATTTAAAAAATAAATTTCAAAATTAATAGTTGTATTTTTTATTTTTTATAAAAAGGTGGTTATAACTATCTTTTTAACCACATCTATTGGATAATCGTAATCAATCAACGGGTTGGAAGAGAAAACATGAAAAACACACACACACACACACACACATATATATATATGTGTGTGTGTGTGTGTGTGTGATTTTTAGTTAGGAGTGTGCATCGAGCGGGTCGGGTGGGATTCAGGTGGGCAAATCAAATACCCATTCGGATATGGAAATCAAGCCTCAATTTTTGAGTATCGGAATTTTGGATTGCTTCGGTTCGGGTTGGAGGTTGGCTGGGTTCGAATTTTAGTTATAATGCAAAAATATATATATATATATATATATATATATATATTTAATCGGTTTTGAGAATTAATAAATTGATAGTATGCTTAGAAACTAGAAGAAAAAAAACATGTCTGACTAAGATTTTAGAATTTTTAGAAGAAGAATTAGATAAATTAGTGTTTAAAACATATGTGTGTGTGTATATTTCGGGTTCTCGAGCAGATCAATTGGTCAAAAATAAAACCCGACCCCAACCCAAATTCCCACCAAATATGTCAGGGCATTTGGGTTTTGCATAAACACCTTATTTTCAGTTCGGGTTCGAAATTTGGACCATTCGGGTTTTGGACAACCCTAATTTCAATCTAAAATGATTATGATAGTGATGTCTTTAGGCACATTGATTAAATGGCACTCAGGAGACACATTAAATCTCAAAAAATCAGTATGTGACACCGACGTATGTTTTGTTCGTAAATTCAAGAAACAAGAAACTATGGATTTTTGATATAATGAAAACGATACATCAATTTCCGTGTTGAATATGGACATCAAAGACAAAAGGAAATAACGTGCAAAGTCATAATGATAACGAGTTTGTTCATTCGCTAAATCACCAAACTTTATCAATTTTTGGATGATGATCGGTCATATTAGAAGTCGATATTTGTCTATGATTACAAATATGATTTATAATTCCTTTTTAGTAATCGTAGGTTTTCGGGACAGCTTGCGTGCATCAACTAATCCCCTAAACGACCAGGAATAGCCTGAAGTCATCACAACTCAGTAGAAACATGCAGAAGCTAGAATCAAGGTCATGTTTGTTGGCATCTTAATGAGCTTAACAAGACTCATAATTTATTCGGTCAGCTATACATGACTGTTTCATAATGGTTTAATAATATAAAAAGTGATTTATTTAGTAAATTTTTATGTAAGCTTTATACAGATAGCCGAGTTTATCTAAATTGGTCCCTCCCAATTAAAATACACATTTCTTTCATCTATGGAAAACCTTTTTCTAAACAAAAACTTTATCGATCTATACAGACTTAATTCACAGAGACAACTTTGTCTATACAGGACTTGATGAAAATCCAACCCAACAACCCCACCATCGTCACTAGAAGCAACCACCACCGCCTCCGTCTCCGTCTCCGCCACGCCCTTAGCACCAGGTCATCACCTGCTGCGGACGCCATTCGATTTCTTTTCCTTTGCCCCTGATTCTCAATCACCACCATTTTGCGTTGAGATTGTTTGTTCATTATTGAAAGAGCACAACCTGTTCGATAAAATGTCTATAAGAGATCGTTCTTGGTTGTAAGATGAAAAAGAACCCAAATCTTGCATTGTACGACAAGGGTTTTATACCGAAGGAACCAATGATGGCGGGTTTCAAGTTTCCAGTAATCAAGACTTCTTTACTCCGGATATAAAGAAAGAAGCAAGAAATCGTAATCTTTAAATACATACCATTTTAAGCCGAATTTGGAGTCTCTTTTAGGTATCCATTTCCCTCTGCAACTCACCATGCCTTCATACGACACCTGCACGAAAGTGATACGATCACATAGAATCATAGATACAGTTTGTATACATCCGAAACATTTCTCCTAACCAAATTACGAGCAAAAGAGAAGCAGCTATGGTGTCGCCATAATCGAGACTTAAACAAAGGTAACGTTCCACTCCAAGAAAACAGCAAACTCACTTCTAGACTGATATTCCTTCTTCATTTGCAGCACCATTGCAAACAGCGGCAACTGCGAATATGGCGATTGCACCATATGCACATGGGATCACTGATGCACAAGGGCAGATCCAAACGAGAACCATATGTATTTTGAGAATTTGAGAACCAGCTATTCATGTTTTATTCATGATGAATGTTGTGAATGATATTCATTACAAAAATGTATGATTCATAACTATTTAGGGTTATTCATGAATAATACATGAAATAGTTGGTTCATAGGTATGTTTCTCATTTGAACCCCCGACAAATTCATTCAAGATTATGCAAACAAACTCATCCAAGAAAACCAACATGAAACAGATGTTTTACAACTGAAACACACACACGATTACACGAAACCTACGATTTCCAACTGTTCTTAACCTTCCAAGTTCCATGATTCAAGAACTCATGCTTTATCGATCGAACGACTTCGTGTGAAATAAGATCAAGCATTCAAGCAATAAACATGAAATCATTTAAAGAAGAACAAACAGAGTAAACATCAACAAACTTCACATTTATTTCCAGGAAAATAGAAATTTTACATCAAAGACAACAATAGGATCCCAACAAAGCCATCAATCTGCACTGTAAACACAAAAAGATTGAACTCAATGCATACCCACATGATCTACAAATCTCAAATAACTAAATCCCATAACATGATTGATCCAAATGCCCAATTCATCTTTACCTCACCAAACAAAACCAAACTGTAGTGTTCATCCATCCATTCAAGAAATCTTGAAATCAGTTGTGGTGTGCCCTAATCATACTTTTCTCTCCAACTGTACACAAGAAAAAGAACCCATGAAATTGCCAAGACAAAATCCCCCACCACCAATCTCAGCCAATCACGGCCAAGATCTTCAAGTTTTCTCTCAAAATATATCCTCCAAATTCCCATTGCAATATGAAGAACAACACACCCTTTGGCAAAAAAGCTCTGAAAATCCCTATCTTTCACAAATGCCACCATGAACAAAAGGAACCCAACAGCAAATAAAAGCAACCCAGAGAACGAATCAGATGTCTGAATCAATAACTGATCACGAGGGGTTGATCCCAATAGTTTGCTGGCTGTTTCACTTCCATGGCTGAATGCAAACACTTGAGGGCTATAGAACATCATAAACGTGCCAGAAGTTAAAGCCACTAGGGAATGAAGCATACAGATTGTACAAAACCCTGATGATCCCATATTTTCGAGTGTTTTTTAGCTAAAAAAACTCTGAATTTAATCAATGATAAATAGAACCATTTGAATCAAATAATTAGACCTAAATTGAGCCAAATGTACAAGATAAATCCAAACCCCCCTTTTTTCTCTGATACAGTAAACCCTAACACACCAAAATTCATTATCGTCTGAAACAATCGACGAACACCCAGAAGATTTCTTGACATAAATTAACCAAAATTGACGAAATTTAACTAAAATAACAACACCCACCTCAAGTTCCGACTGTTGAGATCCCCGAATCATAAAAAGAAAGAAAGCGAACCCTAATCATCGGTCGGATCTCGACGATTAACGAACAAGAAGCTAGAAATGCTAACCGTAAAAATTGGGGATAAAATTCACTGGGAAATCTTGAAAATTTATGAGAAGAGGGGTGTAGGGGAAAAACAAAATATGATGAAGATGGAAAAGGATGGAAGCTTGTTCATTAATGGGCGACAACGATGGTTCTTGGGCATGAATAAATGCTGGAGATATCATCAGAATGTTGTGTTATGCGTATGCGTATAGATAATTAAACTTTTTACTTGTTTAGTTGTTAGAAGACAACATCTGAATTTGTTAAAAGACTGTATTTGAATCGATAAGAAATTAATCTTATTTGCCAAAAAAATATTTGTTTCTTAACGGTTCTAAATTTCTCTGAATGATTTTGTATTATGAGTCTCTTTTAACCATTCAGCGTCCTAATTTTATTGTAAACATTTATCAAACAATTATATTTTATTTTGTACTATATCATGAGGATCATTCCAACCACTTAATCATTATGCATCAAATTATTCAGCAATCGTCAAACAACCCCAAATTAAATATAGTAAAATTTGATTTTGGTCCATGTATATAACTTTTAAGGGATATTGTTTTTAAATTTTAAAAATTCATATTTGTTTCGGCATGTTTGTCAATTCCTAACTGTTTTGGTACTTTTGTTTGATGGTCGTTGACTTTTCTTTGTTAAGTATAGTTAAATGAAGGACATTTTAGTCATATTTTTATTTTATTTTATATTGACATTAAAGACATATTGTATTTTTAATTTTTAATTGCAAAACGAAACAAGGAAATAAAAAGGATAACCATCATTTTTAGTTTTCCACTTTTTTTATTTTACAATTTAAATTTAAAAAAATGTAATGTATTTTGTTATTTTAATGTAATGAAAACAGTCAAAATGACTAAAATGCCTCTAATTTAATTGAAGTTAATGGAGTTAGACAGAATGGCTAGAACCATTGAGAACAAGTGTTGTACTCGTCCGTTAGTCTGCATAACCATATTCCTTACAGTAATAACTTCACTGCCCCCTTCGCCTTTCTTGGACTTCACCGATTTGTCTCTTCGTCCGTAACCATTTCTCTCATCCGTTTACTCGATTTTTTTGTCGTGAAGACATACTTGATCTGCGACTTTCTTTTATAACAACTCTGAACCATCTAAAGTAAAAGAAACCTAAAAGCAACTTCCACTCTTTGTGACCTTGCTTTCAACTCGATATTGAACCACTTGTGCTACCTTATGCTTGATTTTCTCCATGTTCGGTTTTCCTATTTCAACGAATCTTTTCTTATCTACTTCCGTTTATGTATCAGGGATTTGTTAACGTTTCCTCTAACTCCTGTTTGGTTTGCATCAATGAAACGGGTTTGAGGGGATTTAGATTTCAATCTAGTCCCATGTTTGGTTTGTTGGATTGTCTGGATTTGAAATCATATGATTTAATTGAAATCCTACAAAAATAGGTTTTGAAATCCTTACGGGGTGCTTGGGATTTCACGGAATTTCGTAAGATTGTATACAATAAGGATTTAAAAAATGTTAAAAACAGTTGTTTTGTAATAATAAATTGATAAAAATGTAATTCAATTATTTATCAAATTTTTTGTATCAATCAAGTTACAAGATGTGACAACTGTCAAATTTAAACTTTCAGGTTAGCTCTTATTAAGTTTATATTAGTGTTATTGAAGATAATTTATAAGATTAGAAGTTAGTTAGGTTAGTTTGGTCGAAAAATTTCTAGAGATTCCGGCAGTTGCTTAGAAAGTCCGGTTACGACCCGTAATTATCTGAAACGTCTTAGACAGTGCCAAATGTTCTAATACCTAATTTATATAAAACACGAAGTTTTAGTGTTTTAAATATAAAACATTTTTATTTAAATGAATTTAGCCATCATGGGTTTTTAATTTGAAGAAAAATGTCAAAATTGAGAAAAATGACATTTTAACAAATTTGGGCTTAATGTTTATAAAAAAAATTATTATTATTATTGTGGGCTTGGGATCCCATGGCTGGCCCCCTCCTATTACCCACATATAAATATCATCATTTCTCAAATTACAACTCATTTTCTCATTTCAAATTTTGAAACTCCTCTCCCTCTCTCTCTCTAAACTCAAGAGTCACCTAAGAATCATCTTCTTCATCTTTCCTACTCCAGCCCATTTCTCCATATTTCTCCATCAAAATAGCAAGGATTTGAAAATACTACATCCCTCACATCAACAATCAAGGTAACATCTTCATCTCCCTATTTTTCTTGCAAATTTTGGAAGAAAAACCCACTTTTTATGCATTTCTATCTACTATCTTCTAACCTCAGAAAATTCTGAGTTTTAAGGAGAGATTACACACCAAAAACATGTAAAAATGTTCATATGATGGTGGTAATCTATGACCCAAACATTAGAACTMAAGAAGATAGGTAGAATCATGATTTTATGTGAGTTTGATTCTTAAAAATGGCATTTTTAGTGCTGACAGATTATGTGCATGTGCATAAATCGTCCATATCTTGAAAATAATATGTTCAAATGTTATGAATCTTCTTCTAAAAGTTTATTTATTGATTTGGGGTTGTAATCCAATTGGTCTCACTCAAAAACATTGAGTTTTGACTCCCCAAATACTCAAAACATTATGTATATGCATCTGAGAGTTTTTAAGTGGGTAAACCCTACTTTAAACAACCATAACTCTCTAGATAATCATTCAAAATCATTGATTTTTCTTCTGGAAGTTAACTTAATGAGTTACCTTTCAAATTCCACTGATTTTATTCAAAAATGTGGTGATTTGAGGTTTTAACTACTCAAAACAAAGTGAGCATGCAATCTGTCCGAATCTGACAGATTTGTATATGTATGTTTCAACGACCATATCTATTTCAAAACTCGATGAAAAAGGATGATTCTTAATTTGAGAGTTAACCATATGAGTTATCTTCTGCATGCAAGTGGAATCACATGAAAATATGGAGTTTTGTTCTCCAAACACCTAAAACACTTTAGGTGTGCAAACTGTGAAACCACCAGTAGGTAACTCCTACTTTGTATGCTAATATCTCTTTATTTACTTGCTCTTTGTGTATGATTCTTCTTCTGAAATTTTCTTTTATGAGTTAGGGTTCATATGAACCCAGTTTCACT